TGTGTTTTCATTTTTATGCTGGGATTATTTTTCTGACGTTGACAAACTTCGTACTCGGTCTAGCCAAGCCTCGCGTACTCGGTGTAGCCAAGTCTCGCAGAACATCAACCGACGAGCCGTATCGGCGATTTGAGGCAAGTCCGTTGAAAATCCAAAACATGTGCAAAAAAATTCGAAGAAAAACAGAGTCATAAGCTTACTGACTTTCTCTTTTCAACTGAGCAAAGTTGAGCCAATCAAGCTTCTCTTTGCAAAGCTATGATATCAAGAAACCAAAAAGTTAAGTGAAAAATCGAATGGTTGTGATTTTACAGACAGTTTTTGGATTCATCGAGTATGTCTCAAATCGCCGAACCTTGAAAAACCTCCTTTCCTTCATTTTCACCTTTCTTACATTTTGCAATCAAAGCTTAGCAGAAAGCAAACAAGGGGTCAATAGAGAACCATAAATTAGCCTTTTTAATAATATTACTGTCAAGCAGAAACGTTGTAGCAGGAAAAATTATTCGATAAGCCGTAAAATATGATGTACAAGCTAGAGATTTGAATGCATTCGTTTCTGCGATTTTGTTTTCTTCACTTGCAACAAGCGGGACAACATGGTAAATGTTTTGAATAGCAAAGTCGACTAGAGCTTTCGTGTGCTGTCGGCGTAGTATTGGACTTATGTATTCATCCACGTAGGCTAGAGAGGTTTTTATTTAAATGGTTATCGAGTAACGGCCGCATGCATTGACATCCACGCCGGAGAGAGGATCGCAGATTCAAGGAAAGTCGGTACTTTTCCGTTATCCGGACCCATTTTTTCAAAAAGCTCTTATAAAATACGTTCAGTAGTTCAAATACAAATTTTCATAGATTCTACGAGGACTGCCTCCCTGCCACGTGTCAGGAAAAAATTGACACGTTCTAGTCCACTTTGACACGTTCTTTTCGAAATCATTTCCGGTGAGATAAAAGAGCATTTGTAACCTTAGAAGCTCTCCAGCTGATTTACATAAGGGCAAAAAAATCTAGAACCATTGCTAGAATATCTTGATTGGTTCTAGCAATGATTCAAGAATGTATTTCTCTTCAAACTTCCCGCCATGAGTGTTTAGCCAGAAAAGTCTATAAATGATCGCTTGAAGTAGTATCTCGCTGCTGCTTTTCGCCGCTTAGGTGATGGAACCCTAGCGCACTTCTCTATTCTGTGCACGTCTAGTATGTTCATTGATAAGAGGGCAACGTTGTTATTATAACAATGTCATTTTTGAAATTGTTTAATCGAAAATAGGGTCATTATTGACAAAAAAAGGTTGAACATATGTCGCTAGGTAGGGCAACGCGAACTCTTGGTAAAACTTGTTAAACATGTAAGTGGCATGTCAAATTTTTTGACACGTGGCAGAAGGTTGACACTCTTTCCTATGAAGTTGGAAACAAATATGGTGCAGGGAAAGAAGCAGTATCCTTCTTTGCAAAAATGGGTCCGGATAACGGAAAAGTACCGGAAAGTCTTACCCTGAAGTTGCAGATGATATGTGATTTCACGCTATTTACCCATACAAAAGCATTCCTACTATCTTTCACTACAAATATATTGAACAGGAGCGAGAAGCTATACAGGCCGCATTTTCCGTTTTGTACAATTTTCTGATAATCTCCGGCTGCCGGCCGTCTTTTCCACAAACTCAATGAAATTTGTCAAAGTTTTACTGATTATCTAACCGAAAATGCCAATGAAGAAATGGTCAGAAATCGAAGTAGCCAATCCAAGCAAGCTGCATATCTTTAGATGCAACATGAAACGCTGACTTCGATTCTGTATTCCGTATCTGCTTAGCGCCTTTGTGGGCGAAGTTATAAGCCGTTAGTGCTCAATATTTTGCTAAGAAGTTGTGCATACAAAGCGCAAATTTGGCAGCTCGGAGCCATGTTCGACCTAATGCTTGGCCAAATCATGAGCTGGTTACTTTACATTCTCAAAGCCTAGTAGTGAGCTGAAAGTGCAACAATTTACTCAGTTTGGCAACTTTTGTGCGCAATTTTCTTTGCAACAAGACTGCTCATAATCTCGTCTACAAAGGCGCTAATCAGTTATGGAGTACAGATCGAAGTCAGCGTTTTATGCTATGTCGAATAGTAAACGCCTTGCTTGATTGGCCACTTCGACTTCTAGCCATTTCCTGCTCAGATAATCGCCGGGGGCAAGCGGCCATGCAAATTTTGAGCAAGCGCGCACCGATAAAATAGTTCGCTGATTTCTTGCGGTCCGCTTGCAGAAATTTGGAATAATTTCAGCGAAATTTTAGACGAATGCTTGGAGAACAGTCGCGGTTTCCTTATAGATTAGCTGCGGCGCAGTGGCCGCATTCTCGCAGACTTTCCGCGAGAATATGCAAAAATTTCGAGGGCCGCACGGTTCTTTATGGAGAACCGCGCAACCCCCAGGTACTTTCCGCTGAGAGAAGGTACCTCAAACTTGAGCAATTAAACCAACGGTGACACCCCTGCCACACAGAGTCTTACCTTTTCTCGACGTATGCCCGAAACTGTGTAAAAAGAGTCTGAGCGCTTGCTGAAAGTTTGGTCAGCGCTCGCTGAAGGAAATTATTTGCCGAGCGCTTGCAAAAAATGCTGTATTGCTGCCCGCTGGCAGAATATGCGACCGTAAAGGAAGTGCCGCCCGCTGAAGGTTTGGCCACGCCCCAAAATTCTGCTGACCGCCTGCAGAAAAGCGCGAGTTTGCGGACCGCCTGCTCCCGGCGATTATCTGAGTGTAAGCATGTTTCCGAAACAAGTGATGTATTGAGGTCATGAAATTTGAAATGAATTACAAGTTGAAAGTTGAAGTTTATCGAAAATTTCCGTACTTTCTAACTTATTTGTTCTTACCCACAATATACTTAGCACTGTTGGGTTAAAGTCAGTACTATTTTGAAATGTTTTCATTGACTATGAGAAAGAAAAAGAAGCAAAGACGGTTGGCCGCTGGGATCATCGGTGGAATACAAAAAGCTAGAAATGCGCTACAGCAGCTCCTGTTGCGACAGCGCTTATAGAGCTTTTTGCTCCTATTCAATGCGTTTATAGTGACAAACAGTGGGAATACTTACAGATAGGTAGACAGAGGAGATCCAACTATGAGGAGCTTCAGGACATCAAGCTTTCTTTTGAGCTGCGTTTCTCTCCCGACGGGGATTTTGGTGAATGCAGCCTCAAAGGCAGCGTCCCACCAGATTGGAGGCACTCGGCTCTGGTTTTCATGTAATAGTAGACCCCCAACTAAGCGACGAAAGTTTGCAGCGCGAAAGGGGGTCTACGAAGTCTACAAATCCCCCTTCCCCCCCCCCCCCCCCAAGTGGCCCGAATCTTACGGTAGTCCCAAACGCCGCCCACAGATCAATTTCGAACTGCAAGGCCAGAGCACGCATAGCGCACACAGTCATGAGTGCAGGCACCCACAACGACTCTGCGTCTCTACCTTGGATGCATCTCTACTCGCTAGGGGTCTACTATTACATGAATACCAGAGCCAGGTACCCTCAATGTGGTGGGACGCTGCCTTTAAGGGTCAAAGGATTTGGATCCTTACTCCTGCTTACAAGGAAAGGAAGGTCACTTGAAGTGGCCTTTTAAGATGAGATAGACACTATATTGTAAGGCTTGGAACGCTCATTTCAGATTGCCTTGCTTATCTGCGGAGCGTGGACGAGGAGTTATGAGGGTTCTTAGGAGTTGAGTCGACACAAGTAGAATCAAGAACTACATATCGTTTTGTGCCGCTTAGAGTGGTTAATGTGAGGTCTTACAAGCAGACTTTCTCAGTCTTCGAGTTCCTGTGTGTGATTTTCTTCTCGCTGGTCAGCAAGAAACTTGTATGAACTTGAGCATCGTGCATACACCACCCCTTCCTTCTCTTGACTGCAAATCTTTTTAATAGACTTTTATTACTCGATGTTTTACGAATGTGCACTGATGAAAGGAGAGAACAAAATGTGCAAAACACTAGACATCATTGACAACGAGAGTAACAAATAAAGACTACTTCCAAAGTTTCCTAAATGAGGGAAAACGATAAGTGCTGGCGCCTCAAAGTGATACACATACATTTTGGGGCTAGGCGGGTGTCGTAAGTTACAGTCGAGTAGATTTAGCGGTAAATATAGTGTGCTTGCACAGAAGGTGAAATGCGGTGAAATTTGCTCGTGAACAAGTAGCCACGTCAGTGCCGCGAGTATCTTGCGCGCGCAATTGGCCGGAGTCGAAACTATTTCTACACAACTACACAGTCGAAACTATTTCTTCACGCGCCAATTTCACCGCATTTCACCTTCTGTGCAAGCACACTATATTTACCGCTAAATCTACTCGACTGTACTTCTCGTCGTTGATCCATGCGGATTTTATCAATTTTTTGCACAATTTCGCCTATGTGCGGGAAGTTGACACGAGGGGTAAGCGAGCATGATATTGCAAAAAAATTATTGACAGGGCCTGGCGGAGCCGATTTGTTAGTATATTTATGTAGAGATTTTGAACACTCGTAGCATTTTTCGAACTTCGACTTTGGGCCATGTCAGACGAAATAACTAGCGATTTGAAGCATCGTCTTCATTCCGTTCAAACAGAATTCAACCCCTGTTTGCTTGATGTAATATGAATGCAACACCTTTCCAATCATCTCGCTCACTTTTGCAAAAGTTTTTAACAGAAATTCTCAACTACACTGCTAGAGATACTCACGGAATCAAATACACATCTTATTGTTAGAAAGTTTGCACAGGAATGTCATATAATAAGAATTACTAAATTTAATATTCCAAGTTAGTCTCTATACCATACCTATCGCCAGCGTCTCTCAAGAAAGCGTCTCTCGTCTCTCGTCTCGTCCTATCAGGGTCAAGAAATGCACGGATGGGAGGCGGAAAGGAGTAAATTTGAAAGCTAGTCTATTCTTGTGCGATGATGAGCATCTGGTGTTACCCCATTGTCTTTGCAGCAACATGACAACTTACCAAAAGCTTTCCTATACCAGCTTGCGCAGGTTTGTCGCATAGTCTCGCAAACGTTGCTATAACATAATTCCCAATTTTCTAATTCCTAATCTTTATCAGGTGAACGTACGTGATTCCGGAACAACAACTGGCAGTGCGAGCAGCCGAAGTGTCCAGAGCCAAAGCTTGTCTTGTGAGTAAAGCATCATATCTCGCTGAGTTGTGCCGCCTTGTTATGATATAGTTCTGTTTCTGCAAAGAAATTGAAGTCATTTTGCTTCTATGCATATTTCCCTCCCATTTTAATTCTGTTAAATTTGCTTTGATTTGCGCGATGGCCAGGCCAGACCTCCACCCTTAGCTGCAGATAAGAATCGTGGCCGCTCCCACTTTGAGTACCAATCGGCTGACCACCTAAGAATAGCAAGAGCACGGCTGGTAAAGATTGAGGACAAAGTCTTTTACCAGTACATAAAAACGACATGTCGGTGACAACACTCATGCTCTGCATTTATACTGCTGAGACAATCCCTCTAACTTTAGAATCTGACTCTGCAGAGCACATTAAGTACCACGTCATCGCGCCGCAGAAAACGAAGATTAAAAAGAAGGTCCTGCTACAGTCGACTAATGGGACCCTCATCATTCTTGGGGAAAAGTTTCATTATAAAACATTGGAGGCATTGGCTTCGTAGTCCATCCATTTACTGTTCGTCTTGTTAATTCGTATGAGACCTCGATTGGCTTCTTACATCTGGGCACTCTGCAGAAGACCATCATTAATGCTGACTACAACTCTTCAACTTCAGCAATTGACAAAACAGAACTGAACGTTCGCGAAAACATAGAGGAGACGTCAGCAACGAGAAGTTCTTCTACTAACTTCGTAGTCCACCCATTTACTGTTCATCTTGTCGATTCGTATGAGACTTCGACTGGCTATCCTACGTCTAGCACTCCACAGAAGACACCAGCATTTTCAACTACTCTCTGACATCGGCAGTTGACAAAACAGAACTGGATGTCCCCCACAAAAACATGGAATGATGTCCGCAACGAGAAAATCTCCTACAGAATTGTTGTGGGCGATCGATTCGAAAATCGGGATGCCACTAGAAGTAGAATGGATTGGGGAGTTTGGATATGGGCCCAGAAGAGAAGGGCACCCGTCTTGTTGGGCTTCTCTTCGGCATACCTTTTTCATAGAAGAACGACTCACGCGTAGATCGGCCACACATATCCCTTACTCGATATTCTAGTAGTTCTATCCTTCTGCAGCAGCTCTAATCACCGTCTCCTTTGATCGAACGTGAGGGGAGGGGACGGGGGGGGGGTGGACTATAACTTTTCAAGAAGGAAAAAGACCGTCTACGTCAATGACAGGCTGGAGGAGCTTATTAAGTTGTATTTAAAAGGGATCGAGAAAGACCTATCGTACGACTACGATTGGTTTCTAGAGAGATTGCGGACCAACAGTAGCCCCAACATCTGTGAGGAACTGGGAACACATCGAACACCAAGAAATTGTTTGGAAGACGAAAAGCTGTGAGGCAGAATTCGAATGCGACTAATCTCAAGCAACTGATAGCGAACGCTAGTTGCAAAACAGCTTTGTAGGAGCGTCTTAAGTACAGGTAAACGAAGACACTAGAAGCAGCCGAAAGAATACAATGTCACAAGAACCGCTGAAAGGACTTTTGTGATTACTACCGCTGTTAGCGCCGCTAAACGAAGAAAGAAGGACACCGACTTCTTCCCGGTATAAGTGCCCGTAGTAAATTCCTCCTGGCTGTCACAACATAGAGGGACTTTGCTGTTATAGCTCGGAGTATCTCGCAATACTATAGCGAGCTATCCGTAGGGCGCCGCAAAACGAGTGTCTCTGCGAGTCATTGAACCGCTGATGACCGCGATAGCAGCGCTCACACTCGCTGCGCTATGAGTACAGATATGCTGTGGGATACTTGCTTATCAAGGCAAGAATGCAGTTTACTATTCTTGTCAGAGCAGCAAATTAATTAGAGGAAGTCCAATAACTGACTACCCTCGCGTGAGCGCACCTATTTCTCCATTTTCAATTCATTATCTTATCAGTATTGATAGGGAAGCTCAGTTGATCTATGTTTTTTGCAGAATTATGCTTATCTTTGCGCATCGTGCTGTGGGAAGGAGCGCCAATATCCGCTACGGAAGGTCGCACCCTATTCAACCTTTTTCACCAATAGATTTTAGGCGTGCCAGCCCGCGCCAGATTCGTCCAGTTCTGTGCCAGAAGCCGACGGGTTCGATCGAGCAATACGGAATGCCGCCACCCACCGAAAACGTAAGGCAACACAGAGCAGGGTTCTCTTTAGGTGAAGGTGGTTTTGGCTATATCCGACCTTGGAAAAAGAAGAAGATAAGTGAACCTCAAAGTGATTGCTAACAACGAAAAAGAGAGAACAGCTCCATTAAAGCACTGATAGTCTAACAACCCGCACGTTCGCTGCGCCTACGCTACTACGCCGTGCTTTACTAGGGAAAGGAAGCATGCAGCAATCAGAGCTTGGAACACTGATTCTAAATCTGCCTTTGCTATCTGCTGTGGGCTTCTGGGCGAGAAGTTATGAAGGTTTTTGTGAGTAAAAAGTTAAATGCAAGATTGGTTTAAAATGTATCATAACATCTTCCAACTCCGACTGTTCTTTAATCTTGGTATAGTTATGAACCGTAGCAGGATGTTGAGCAATACGACCAAGATGGCAATTTCTCTTTATTAACTTCGGCCAACGTTTCGGCGCAATCGCCTTCGTCAGAGCCTAGAATGTCGAATACATAAGGATCTCTTTCCTCAGACGTCAATGAAGAAGCAAGACAAATCAGTTGAAAGCTAGTACGAAGGAAAGAACCAGAGCCACGGCAAAGCAATACTCACCTTAAACGTTGCATAGGGGGTACGAGGGACAACCAGCTATGCATTATCTATACCTCTGCCCTATTTATAGTAATGAGGTGACCTGACCTAGCCTCAGAAACCGCAAAGGGCCTGATATGGCGCGAGTTCGTTAGTTATTGCGATACACTCCTCCTTCCGGTTCATTTTTGGACTTTTAGCGCTGATCCAAAACGCTTCCAAAGTCTTGCGCGATAGGACTTCGGGTTCGTAGGACAAAATCGAGGCTCCAATTTGTATTTCAGCATTTTCGTGTTGCAGTAAGCGATGACCACTGAGCGGTGTACTGGTCCTTTTAGTTGTACTGGTTCAGTCCATCTAGATGTTCCTTTATGCGGCAGCAAAGCGGGCGCCCAGTCTATCATAACATTTTTCCAGGGCTTTACTGATATTCGGTTCACTCGGTGCAATAAGCTCCAAGCTCTACAAGACAGTGCAGGTTTCATCTTGAAGGGCCACTTATACCATCTTCCTTCCCGTGTTAGTTAGGGAATATAAAATCCACAAGTGCCCCCTAGAATATGCTGATTTTCTGGAACCGCTCATTTCAATCATGCTGAACCGGTTAGAAAGCACGATCCAAATACTCAATATTTTCCGCTTTTCTGTTTTGAAACATTAGAATCTTAGTCGCAACGTTTTCTAATATGCTAAGCTGTGCAACTAAGCATGTATTGGCGATGCATTGAAAGAACTCAGTTTTCCTGGGTAAAGTCCAGCATCTCAACCTATTTTTTTGCAACCAAAACCACGCCTACTACATCTCCTATGAAAGCAAGTTAACTATGTTGTCAACTTCAACAAAGGTGCATCCACAAAATATTGGATGGCGAGTATCATCGATCTACCAATTATTTGTGGCAAGGAGTGGCCGATTTGACCTCTTAGCAGGGTATAAATACCGCCAAAAGGGAACCAGCCGGAGGCGAAAAAAAGAGTTAGGATGGGTCGGCAAAGAAAGGTGTACCTTTTCTCTAGGTAGAAATAAAAAGAGCCTTGCCGAGGGGCCAAATTACGAGTGCGGAATGACTATCACAGCTATACACAGCAAAGAACCATGAGGCGGAAAAGGCCAGAGGAAGGGAGTATTCTGAACATTTATCAAATTGTTCTCTCTTTTTCTGGTAAACGGAGATGAGATATTTCGCGCAGCTTTGAGTATTGAGAATGTCGGAATGGCGAAGCATGTCGCTGGCAAGTACAATTGTAGCATTTGTAGCATGGATATGAATTAAGCGAAAATACATGATAGACGAAGTGATTTTCATCTCGAAAAAATGGTAATATTGCCTGAGAATATGCAAATACTTTAACCGAAGCGAGATAGCGGTCAGATGTAAAACATTCCTGGAGAGGTAAATGTTAGAATAGTGAGAATGATAGGCAATCTGGAGAGTCTATTTGGCGAAATAAAAAGATACCCGAACATAAAGCTACGCTGCAGAAGCAAGACTGAGTCGTTGCAGACCAGTGCGTATAGGAGGAATAAACCTGAGAAGCCATTGCAAGCTTAATACTGTGAGAATGCAGTAAAACTGAAGAAAGAGCAAATTTCCTCGTTTGCCATACCAAAAGAGCCTAACCTTTGGCAGTCAAGCAGTTCCATGAAAGCGTCGGATTTTTATAGACGCTTACTGTAAAGACTGCTCTTTCATTCATTTTGGTCATATATTTATTTTGTTTACAGAATATCAAATTATTCTCATTCTGCTTTCTCCTTGTCAGCTAGATGAATTCTTTGGTAGCGATTACTATCAATTTTAGCCGCTGTACGGATTGCTGCCGCGTGACAAAAGCAGTATTTTACTGCAACCATGCCTTTCAACATTCAGTGATTTAATCATCCGAACAAACCACTTGCAAACTGCCTTCTCCATAAGGCGCACACTTTGTTTTTATCTACAATGCGGTCGACTTCTAGATCAGTGGCACGACAGATACTGCGCTGAGGCGCCGTAAACTCAGCTTGCAAACTAGGTCAGCCCCAGGATCAGTCGAATCAGTGACCAAGAGCGGGTAGAGGCTTCAGTGCTGTACTTACATGGCAATCACAGCTCGTGTAGGTGGTACTTATAGAAAAAGTAACTTCCCTTGAGAGCTTGTGATTTTCAAAGTCAAAAACTGCTTCAGAGTTTGCAGGTTGTAATAAATTTGTGCAGTCCTCAATTCTTCTCTTGCAGCGCATAATGAAAGCACTTGGGAGTTTTTGTTATTGTTTATGAACAGTCAGATCTGTGCTGATGAGATGTGATCTACAATACCATGTGTCCACACTACTTTAACAGATTAGACTTCAAATTTTCTCATTAGATAAGCGATGA